GCTCTGCACCCGGCCCTGGGCTCTGCACCCGGCCCTGGGCTCTGCACGCGGCCCTGCGCTCTGCACCCGGCCCTGGGCTCTGCACGCGGCCCTGCGTTCTACACCTGGCCCTGGGCTCTGCACCCGGCCCTGCGCTCTGCACCTGGCCCTGGGCTCTGCACCTGGCTCTGGGCTCTATACCCGGCCTTGCGCTCTGCTCCCGGCCCTGCCCTCTGCACGCGGCCTGCGCTCTGCACGTGCCAAGGCCCTCAGCTCTGCACCTGGCCTGTGCTCTGCACAAGGCCCTGCCCTCTGCTCGCATCCCTGGGCTCTGCACGCGGCCCTGCTCTCAGCACTCTGCCCTCAGTTCTGCACGGCCCTCGGCTATGCACCTGGCCTTCAGCTGTTACCTGGTCTTCAGTTGTGCATCGGCCCGTGGCTGTGCACGTGCCCCTTGGCTACATGCCCAACCCTCATCTGCGCACCTGGCCCTCAGTCCACACAGTTCCTGGCTGTGCACAGGCCCCCTTGCCCTGCCTCCTGCCTGTCCCTTGTCCTTCTCCTTGCTTCCCTCATCCTCTGAATTCTAAGTTCCCTCCAGGTTTCCTACGTCCTATTCTGCCAGAGCCCACTTGGACTCTGGCTCCTCTGAACACCCTACACCCACCCCGCAGATGTAAGGGCAAAGCAGCGCCCTGGTGGCAAGGCTGGCACCTTGCTCACCGTCTACCTGTGTGGCTACCGCGTGGGCCTGGGCCGAGCGCTTCCACCCCACACTGAGCGAGGCCCCCCACTCCCTCGCCTTCCTCTGCACACCTTGGGACCGGACAGGAGCATTGCTACCCCGAGCTCTGCCTGCCGCGGCCGAGACTCCCTGCAGAACCTTCCCTCCCTCACCCCTCCCTTCACTCCCTTCACTCGCGCTCGGCTTTTGTCCACAATCATTCGAAACAAGCCGAGACGAACTATGAATGTACACGGTCACTCGATGCACAAGGGAAAGAGATTTATTAATCAGAACCGTTTGCGGTAGAACAGCTTCATGAAAGTTGGGATTAAATGTGGGCTGACGAGGTCAGTCACAATAAGGTGGGTGAGCAAGGCTCCCGGGGAGCAGGCGCAGGGCAGGCCTCATCAGGAGACTCAGGGTTGGCTGGAGCTCGGGGTGAAAGTCCTCCGGAGGAGAGGACCGCAGGATGGGGCTTACTGAGCCCCCCGCTGAGAGCAGCAGCAGGAGGGATTCTGTGCCCTGGGGTGGGGGTGGGGGCTGACAGGGCTCTTCAGTCTCTGTTCTCAGGGGCTTTCTTATTGGGGTCGCTGGTGGCAACAGTTCTGCTGGGTGTCTGCTCTTGGGCATTGACCTTTGACTCTTCTGTGTTCCTGGAGCTCTGATTGTCTGTGGTCAAGGTGGTCTGGCTTAGGCCTGGTTTCCATGGCAACCTCATAGCTTGCCTCATCTGTTCAATCCTCTCAAACCTCCCCGCCAGGCAAGGAATGGGAGCTCAGTGTTTGACCTTAAATGATGTTATGACAGGCATTACCTCGCAGTATGTGGTAACACTAAGCTCCAACACTGCCAACACAGGGCTTCCTGTGGAGATGTTACAGGGCAGGGTGAAGGGCACCCCAGAGCCCCAAACTTGCCCACTTTAAATAGATTCTGCCATCTGCCACATCAAGACTAAGCATGTTCTGGTGCCTCGGACCTTTAAAGGAAGGGAACTTTAACAAAATTAGTGTGCAACAAAGAGAAGGGAAAGAAATCAGCTCCCAAATCAAGCGCCTCAAATTCCCCATCCCCTCATGGGTCAATGCCCAGCCAAACAGGGTGGCCCCAAAGCAGGCACATGAGGCCTGAAAACTTGCCGCAAGTATAAGCACCTCTGGTAGGAGCCACAGGAGAGGGGCAGAAGGGGCCAGGCAAGTCTGTGGCAAAAGTGTTACAGGGCAGGGAGGGGGGAACCACTGAACCCCCAAACCTACCCACTCTAAATAGGTCCTGCCATCTGCCGCATCAAGGCAAAACTTATAAGGCCTTTCATGGAAAGGAGCTTTAATACAGTGAATGTGCAATACAGAAAAGACAGCATAGTTTCCAAACCCCCAAAGTTACTCGCCCCTCGTCCCTCGTGGGTAAAAGTCAACCCAAACGGGACTGGCCCAGAACAAGTCTAAAGTACCTTCTGGCAGGGGCCTGTCGAAAAGGGTGAGAAATGGCCAGACAAGTCTGGGAGGAAAAAAGCAACATCAAAATCAAGGTGCCTTAGTCACCTCCCGGCGGGTCTCTCACCCACGTCTGCTTCAACCAGCCCAGGCCCAAGAGACAAGAGCCGCTTGCTCACAAGTCTCTGCTCCCTGTGCCCCTCAGGTCTCCTGGCTCCATCCTGCTTCCTTCCTCTTCAGTCTCCCTCCAGATTCTTCTCTTCTTCACTCCACCCTCCTTTGGGTGGGGCAGGGAATCTGGAACCTCCCCTTTTCCTGCCCCCCCCCCATTATGATAGGAGCAAATCAAAGTGCAAACCAAGTTAAAGGGTGCCACTGTCAGCCTCTCTCACCCATGCATCTCTCACCCATGGCTCTTCCAGGTGTTTCCTTCCTGGATCCCCAAGTCCCTGCATACAAAGTCGAGGCCGAGAAGCCAGGGCACTGCTTCTTCCCAAGTCCATCTGCTTTGCCAGACCCCCAGGTCTTGTCCCTCCAACTGTCCCCCACAAGGCCGTTTTAGCTTCCCCCTGCTGCTCAGCCTCACCCTTCCTTAGGGGCAGGGGGCTGGAACCTGCCTCTCTACAGGGATCACACTGTGACACTGGGGACAGAGGTAGACCAGAGGCAGGTCCTGCCTGCAGTTGCTGCACACTCCACAGACCCCACACTGACCACCCGCGGCCCAGGGTCCCGCCTCGGGCTAAGCATCTCAGAGGCCCCACAGTGAGGTGGGCGGTGGCACCAGCCCAGGGGAGGGCTCTCTGGGAAGAGGTGTCAAGCTTCCTCTTCTGCGGTAGGAGCGGCATGGCAGGCCTGGCAGCAGGTGCAGAGGCACCGGGAGAGGGGACAGCCGCACCCAGGGACGAAGGTTGCATTGAGAGGGAAGCTCTGAGGTGACAAAGGCTCAAACTGTAGGGTCTTTTGAAGCCCCTTCTCAACTGGCCTTGCCCCTGGCCAGCAGGGGCCTGGACTGCCCAGTCCAGTCTGAGCAAGGCTCCTGCCCCACCCGTGGTACTTTATCACTGCCCTGCCCCCCTCGGGGGACCTCCCCATCCTGTCCCCTAAACTTCCCCTCACCCTGCAGCTCTCAGGGTGTGTTCTTGCCTTGGGGGGAGGAGGGTGCCAGTTCTTTCCCCATTGCCTTGTCTGCGCCCCTAGTGTAAGTTTTATTAGTCTTCCTGACCCCCCCCCTTTTTTTTTTAAAGTGTCAGAGTAATATTTAACTTTTCAGAAACTTGTTGCAAAGGGCCAGTTGCCTCATTTGAATCCCAGCGGGAAGGGCCTAAAGTCCGGCTACCTGCTTTACCACACCCCAACAGGCCGGGATTCTTCGATTTTGCTGGGTTTGGGGCCTCATTTGAACCCCTAACATCTCTCCAGCATCTCTGGCTTGGGTCAGGAGCAGCAGAAGGTGCCCTGTTTCCCCTATACCGACCCCGAAGCGGGGACCCCACCGTTCAGCCTCTGCTGGCAGGTCACTCCCGGCACACCTGGCCGGCTGCGCCCTCCAGGCGCGTCACCACAGGCCTCCAGAAGGCTCTGGAGTCCACGTCCGTCCCACTGACCCGCTGGCCACTAGGGGGCCGGCCAGGGTCGGAGCGGGCGGCCGTG